CAAAACATTACTCAACTTCTTAGAAAACGTCCGGAAAATGAAGGGGTTCATTCAAGAGAATACATTGCGTGTAGCAGAACTTCCCAATCGTGTTTTTTAAATGCATATTTTTTGTGTATGTGTTAGTGACATTGTAATGTTGAATAAGCATATATTATTGCTAATGGGGTCATTTCAGCAGAATTTTAAATGTTCAGTATACACCTTTGCACTGAGCAGTTGGTTGCTTCGAAGCACTTTATTACCTTACACAGCACATATATCTCGAAAAACTTTGACAGCCTCGTGGCCTTGATTAAAAGCAAAATGAAGTTGTCGAACAGGATCATTCATGTCTAATTGGCATCCCATCTCATATGGATGTCTCATCTGAAATAAAATTTTAATAACGTTAGAATATCAGAAAAAAGAATAAGTATATGTAAAAACATAATAGGTACATTGTATATTACCCCAAAATACATATATAATATCAAAACGATGATAGAACGGTGTATTCTTGTAAGTTACAGTATATATATATATATATATATATATATATATATATATATATATATATATATATAGTGGATATATTGGTGAATCTGGAGATAATTTTAGATTTCGCTTCAACAATCATAAAAAACCATACGTCAAAACAAGCTGAACTGTTTAATCAATCAGGATACTTATTAGAAAACTGTAAATGTTTATTGATAGATTCCGATTTCAGTTCCACAAACATACGCAGAAAAAAAAGAAAAATACTGGGTTTTAAAATTAAATACATATAAACAAGGGTTAAATAAAGACTTGAGTATTGTAAATGTTTATAAATATTTCAATAGTTAAACATTTTTTAGATATAGTTAATTTTTTTTTTTTAATTTTTGAAGCAACATCTAAAATATTATTACAGTTAAATTTACGTTAGGAATATTCGAACACAGTGGCGTTCCATATCACGTTACGTCCGCGTCTCGCAACGCACGCTACGTGTAAACAAACAGTTATTTCTGAAGAAAGATTGAGGTCAATCTGAAATATCAAATATATATATAAATAAATAAATACTTTCATAAAAAAACATTATTATTTTGCAACTTTTTCTATATATACATATTAAGAAACATACGTGGCTTCTCATTTATACTATATATGATAAAATATAGTTTTAAAGTATGCTATATTTATGCATAAAATATGGGATATATAGCGTATGTAAATATAAAAGTCGAAGCTGAAATGGCGATTACATATTATGAGTATCATGATATACTGTACTGGCCTAAAGATTACTGGGTAGCCGATAATAAATGTTTTCAATTTTACTCGAGGTTACTGAGTAAGAATAAATATGGATTCGAATTCTGTATTTGTAGCAATTTTACTCATCATTTATTATTGATTGCGTATTTGTTGTTGATTATTATTATTATTATTATTACATTTGCTTGAGTCCATATATGCATTCATGGTTTGTTAATTATTTAATTTTTTTTTTTATTTAGTTTCTTTTTCGGCGGGTTTATATCTTGTTTGTTAATATTGATTTTGTTTAAAGTATGCAACTTCATCTGTATCTATATCTATGTTTTCCAAGGTGGTATTTTAAAAGGTATTCATTTTTAGGTTTAGATGTGAAAGCAACGAACTAAATGTTTTTTTGTTAGCAGTTTGGGATAAGTACTGTTCGTTTATTTTCTAATTTTTCTTGATCTGATAAAAGTGATTACAGATATTTTCTCCTCCTCTTTACACTTTTTTAGAATTTATTTATTTTTAAACTCATGCTCCTTTTCTTATTTTCAGTCATATTTTGGTGTAATTTTTTTGTTTTAAATCATTCATATATGTTTAAAAATTAGTATGCTGTACAATTTGTAAATGGTGTTCTGTGTGCGTAGTTTCACAGTTTACAGTGTCATACAGCTATTCATATGCACATTTTTCATTGTTATCTGCTACTTTTACAGTGGCTTAGTGTGTCACATTATTCCATTTCAGAGACATTCGTTCTTTCGCTGCAGTCACAGCTAGTTTTGATTTTTTTTAATGAGGGATTGTTGGCTATTTTTCTGTTATGCTTTTTATTAATCGTGTCATGTTCTCGGTGCAACTATAGCAGATATGTACTGTGTTTCTGTCAAATATCTTGTAGAGAAACATGGAGGCAGTGACGTGTTTATGTAAGAGTATACTAAATATTTTTTCTATGTTTGTTTTTACGTTCTTTTGTAGGGTGGGTTATGGAATGGAATTTCTCTTCCCGGACCTTTCATCTGGACGGATTGGCCGATCAAGATACTCGGCGTCTGGTTCGGTCCTGATATCCAGTTGGAAATGACTTGGTTGGAGGTACAATTGAAGTCAGAGATCGTAGTTAATCTGTGGTCTTGCAGGAATCTTTGCTTGAAGGGGAGGGCGCAAGTATGCGTTTCACATATCTACCGATTCTCCTTTACGCTTCTCTGTACTTTCACTTCCCTATGCCACACTAATGTCATTAGTAAGGCTCTTGTTCTATTTCTTGTGGAGAGACAAGGCCGCTATGGTATCTCTAGAGATCTGTTGCCTTTATCCATCTGAAGGCGGTCCGGGTATGCCCAGCATTGAGATTCGTCAATATATGCTTCGCATCGGGTTCCTAGATCGAATGTGTCGCGAATCGGATGGGGAGGGCTTCTTCTGGAAGGAAGACGTCCGTAAGAACTTCCCAACCTTGAGAAGTGTGTACTCGTTTGATGAGAAGGCTCACTGTTTAACCCGAGCCGAATGCTCCTTCTACCGTGTATGTCTTCTTGCTCTGAAATGCCTCTTATGAAACGCCTCGTTCAGGTGTTGTCTCGAAGGCCATTATATCAGGTGTTAGTCAGGGGGTCCGTTCATGAGGAGATTGACGAGCTCGGCCTTACGAAGCAGGAGGTTCACTCAATATGGCCTTGGGCGCCCGGGTTGAAATGTCTCAATAATGATGAGGCATCTCTCACCTGGCTGGTGATTCGTGGGGCCCTCTGAGTCGCCAGAAGACTTTGTTCAGCGGGCTTGGAGAAATCTCCAAACTGCCGATGCTCTGATGGGGAAGTCGAAACCCTGGTTCAGGCCTTTTTTCTTTGCATGGTGGTAGCGCAGTTGTGCAAGTTTGTTGAAGGCGTCATTCTGCAGGAGAAATTATTTGTCCTTTAGGTCTCTTCTGTTTGTAACAATGTAGCATTGCCGTTGACGAAGGCCGAACAATGTGTACTTTTGCTTGTGAGGTGTTATGAGAGTTGTGATTTGGACGACATGTCAGAAAGGGATTCTATGGAGTGAGAAGTTCACTTCTTCCCAACAGATCTTGTTCTTTAAGCATCAGCTTAAAGTCAAGATTAGGACGGGAAGGCGGCGGCTCACTTCATCAGAATTTGGCAAAAGGTGGGTGAATCTTGCGCGATTGTGTCGAGTGAAAGGGGCTGACCTCGAGTGACACTTTGATGCCATTTAGGCATCAGGATATTGTTCTTCCTGGGCTGAACACAGGCAACCCATCCATAAAATTAGGCTAGTTTAGTTTTTTTTTCGAATCTTTAATTTCTATTTTCAGTTAACATAGCTAAGGTATGTATGCTCATCGGCCCTTTTTATTTCTGTCCCCACTGTCATTTAGTTTAATTCCCCATCACTTCTATCGTTAGGCGGTCAGTGATGTCAGTTCTCTGGTAGAGGAGGGGTACCTTTCGTTTTGCGTGTGCGTTTTCGTTTTTGTTGTTGTGTCTGAATGAGTGCGTGTCTGTGTGAGTGCCTGAGATGAATGAATGTTTTATACTATTATAATCCTGCATCGATTTCGTCCAGTTAACTGATGTTTCTGCCACATTTAAGAATTGTGTTTTTTTTATTAATAACATGATTTTGTTTAGTTCCTTGTAAATAATTTTGTTCAATATTGTACATATTCATTGTTTTTTTTTTGGGGTGGGGGTAAAATTGTAGTTTTATACCTCTCCCTCCCAGACAATGAATTGTACATATGGGGACTATTTAGGATTTTCATGGAGACAATGAGGTATTATGGAGTATGTAGTAAGAAAGATATTTAAGAATTTGTTGTTTTGGTGTTAGGAATATTTTTTGTACGTTTGGGTCAGTATTTGAGGCTAGCTAAGTTTAAAGTTAAGACAGAAGAAGACCGTCCTTTTCCCCAGTGCTCATTTTGGCCTCGTGCCACATTTTGTACCAGAGTACAAATAAATATCCTCAGTTCAATAAAGCTTTCTTATAGCCTATACCTGCGTACTTCTGTCATTATAATATCGTAAAGTATTTTGGCTCTAAATATTGACATTTTGTCATTTTCCTTACAGATATTTTTAGACTTATTTTATCGATCACTTACATTTTCGCTAGATGAAAAATCGGCGAGTTTTTTTTTCTGACTATTATTAATAACCATTACTATAAGTTCTGAAACACTGTTAGTTTCAAAAATAAATTTTCCTATATTCCTGCAAATTATTTTCTTTTTGTTTATTCAAAAATGCACTAGTTAACAAAATAATTTTAGATAAATGTTAATTTTTAACTCGAAAGTTGGCACGTCGTAACTGATAAACTGATTCTGTCACATGAAATAAAACTTGGGTAACATTTCGTTTTTTTTTTTCAATCTGAAGCAAAACACAAAGCAAGATATTAATATTCTTATGAAATCTTACAGAACATTGATCTGATGTACAGCGGTATTTCTTAGCTTTGATGCCATTGTTAAAATATCTGGTAGGTTATGTATTTGTAGCAGTCCAAATGGAGGAGTCACAACATAAATAAAATATAAACATATAAAGGAAGAAATTGGCAAACAAACTGAGACAAAACAAAGGACAGAAATTTTATTATTGGCAACAATCAACAACTGCTGATTTGAAAGAGAAAATGCCGTGTTCCTAAGTAGAATCCAATATCATGGCATTAATCAGCATAGTAGTGTTTCTGTAAACAAATTTTAAAAGAATGTTAATTAACAAAACAAGAACAAATTTAAACTAAGAAACGGGCTTGATGGCTCGACAAGAAGGATGGAATAAACTCCCGCCAATCCATTTACTGTATCTACCCGAAAGGGAATGGAAATTGAGAAGTGAAGAAGAGGCAATGTCAGCGTCTTTCAAAGAAGAAAGAAGTGAAAAAGGAAAGAGAGGAAACCAACCCAAAAAGGAAGGAATGACTGCTTCACTGTAAAGTGGAAGTCGCTTGCTACTTCCTTCCAGAAACACTTCGGCTCAGAGAAGCACCCTCAATGTTGTAATGACAGGATTGCACACATGAACCGCGAAGCAGGATCACAAAAAATCTCTATATATCTAATGTTGGTAGAGTCACTTACCTTTGCTCGTTTTCTCCTATTTCCCGTGCTTAAGAAATTAAGTAGATGATTTGAAATCATCTTTTCTATAAGAACAGTTTCTTACGAATATTTAAAAACTGTTCATAAATGTTCTGTGTATTTAAAATACAGGATTTTCGAAAAATTAATGATTTATCAGAATTAAAAAGCACTGGTACTAAGAAATACGTGATAAAACAAGGGAGCTAATCCACTTCCAATTGTCAACCTGCTGGCTGCAACTTATTCATAGGTTTACATCGTGAAAATCTTATTCTTTTGATATATGTATCACCTCAAAATAATGTCTACCATTGTAACTCTTTATTTCTACCAAAAAAGGAAATATATATAATATATATATATATATATATATATACACACACACACACACATATATATATATATATATATATATATATATATATATATATATATATATATAGTGTATATCAAGGTCCAGAATATAACGAAAACGCACCACAATCAAGAAGAATGTGCAAAGAGCTGGATCAGTACATGAAAAATATTATGAAGTAAACACAGATGTCCTTGAATAAATGAATTAGCAAATAAATCAAGATGATAAAAAATACAGCTCATAAAATCAATGCTATAATTCTAAAAATATCTATAAAATAACAAATGCAGTTAATAACAAACATTCCCGATCGGATGGCGATAATACGTTTTAAAAAATCCATATTCGATCTTTGCTAATATCTTCAATATGTCCATCAATATTGCCAATCGAAATTGAATTACGAAATTCTATAATCAAGTTAAAATATAGACATAAAAATAAAGAAAATATAACTGATGCCTGATATGAACCCTAAAATCTCACATGAAATCTAAAAGAAAATAATATTCAATCTAAGTTTTGCCAGTGATGAAAGAAACGCCCCTCCCAAAATCCATAACCATTTTTTTTTAAATGAAACCCATATTTTCCAATCGAAAATAAACCGCAAAATTTTTGATCTTGTGAAAATTATTGCTTTTTCTCTCGAATTTAAATCTTGAGAACCTTGATCGAAATTGATTGACAAATTCTCCCGCTCAAATGTTTAACCCTGAATTATTAAATATTCAACCAAACAATCGTTTCATGTAGCATCGTATCGAAGATAAATTTCTAGTAGAGCAAAAGAAATATTACGACAAAAAACATTGATAACGTAACATGGCTTTTGAACGCATACGAGCTTTAGTGTAGAAATACACTACATGAATTCTCCGAAGAAAAATATGATAAATGTTCGCCCATGAAACTTTTTTACTATCTATGCGATAGATAGATAGATAGATAGATAGATAGATAGATAGATATGAAAGGAATGAAATAGATAGATAGTATATGAATAGACTGCAATAGATAGATAGATAGATAGATAGATAGATAGATAGATAGATATGAAGAGACTGAAATAGATAGATAGATAGATAGATAGATAGATAGATAGATAGATAGATGAATGATATATATATATATAGATAGGCTAGATAGATAGATAGATAGATAGATAGATAGATAGATAGATAGATAGTTAGATAGATAGATAGATAGTATATGAATAGGCTGCGATAGATAGATAGATAGTATATGAATAGACTGCGATAGATAGATAGATAGATAGATAGATAGATAGATAGATAGATAGATAGATAGATAGATAGATAGACTTGTATGTACCGATGTATATATGAGGTATGATAGAAAAAATATCGGATCTGGTGTCATAAAAAGAAAACTACAACACGTTTCAATTCAGCATTTAATCTCCTTCGATGTCACCCGCTTCTGGAGCCGCTCAGCCTTGTATCTATTCCTGAAAATCCTTTTCTGTGTCAGCAAGAAATTGCACTTCGCATTGCCTTAGATTCCATCGATATCTTGAAATCATATTTCTTTCAAGTAGGATTGAATTTTTGGAGAGTGAATAATCGGAAGAGGCGAGGTTTGGGGAATATAGTAATTATCGGACTTGGGATATTTTGCACAAGTAATGTTCATCTCTCTGGTGTGGTCGGACGATCACACTCTACACAATGTACTTTCAAGATCTGCTTCAATCACTGGAAATGAACAAGAACGTTATAACATTGTGCGTAAACGGAAAATGTTCACAGTCAACAGTGCTAAGCGGATTTACTCTACATTTTTCAGATCCGTTACAATACCAATAGTCTCGATACTTTTTGATCAGTGCATACCTGTCCCTACTTACATTCCCCGGCTTTTCACTTCGAAAATTTTACTTTCAAACACAATTACTTATCAAAATGAATTTCATTTATATTATTTTAGTAAGCAGGTTCTTTTCATAATACGGATACTGCGCAAACTCAGTCCCCTGATTATTTTCTTTACTTGTTCTGCAAATGAAAGGATATTTTGTGTTACGAAATAATTATTTTAAATAAAGATCAAACGGATATATATATATATATATATATATATATATATATTTTATTTAAAGAATGAAAATTAGCATAAATTAATGAATGTCTATATTCGTTTATTCTTCGTTTAAGATAAATAATTATTATCCTCCATTATTTAATAATAATACTCCTACAAAAAGCTTTAAGTACAATTTAAATTATGAGTTTAAAGAATACAGAAAAGTGAAAGGAAAATTTGCAGATGTTAATTATATAGTTTCTAATTTGACGTCTGTAAATAACAGCAAGGTTTAATAATTCTGTAAATGTCATGAATCTATTTTCCACTGTAGTTGATTTTGAAAAATGTTGCGCCGTAAATGTCAAATGTATCCACAGGATTTATCTTATGACTTTTTTTTTTACACTTTTTAAGTATTGAGCTATTGATTAAATAGTGTTAAAAACAGAGGAAATTCATTACCTTTCTATTCTTAGGGGAACGATATACAACGAATAATTCAATGAACAATAGGAAAAAAATCTGTTTACCGGCCTGAAGGTACAAGAAATTTCGTAGAAAATATGCCCTTCTCCGACAGGGATCGAATTTGTAACCGCACATCAGATCAAATGTCAGGTTCGATTCCTCTCAGGGAAGCGCATATTTTCTACAAAATTTCTCGAACATTCAAATCGGTAAATGTAATTAATACCGTGTAATTAAAAAAAAACAAACAAAAAAACAGGGTATTTACTTAAATAAGTTTTATCTATAAAAATTAACAGGGAATATATTAAATAATTGTCGGACTTAATCGATTTCATTATATACATACATACATACATACATACACACACACATATATATATATATTTTGGTTGGATAGATGTGAGTTTGTGACCCTGGGTGTGAAACCCAGGGTCACAAACTCACATCTATCCAACCAAATATGTTAGCTCTATCTCTGATATTGAGCGCTTTCTAATAAGTACCATGCATATAATATATAAATAATTATACATATATATATTTATTTATATACACTTTTCACATATATATATATATATATATATATATATATATATATATATATATATATATATATATATATATATATATATATAGTCGACTTCCCCCACGCGTTTTGCCCTCGACCTGGCAGGCAAGGCCTCTCTTTTCGACCTGTGTTTTACCTCCATCCCCGAATCTTGTAGCGCCACACAGCTCTGCCCGCTCGGCAACTCTGATCACGCTGTGGTATCTGTCAACGTTTCCTTCAACTCCACGCCCTGCAAAGAACCTCCCATCACAAGAACCTCGTTCTACTATCAACGAGCGGATTGGGACTCGTTCCGTGACTTCCTCCGCGATGTCCCCTGGGATGTTGTCTTTAGACTCCCTGTCCAAGAATGTGCTTCTGAGGTCTCATCCTGGGTTAAAGCTGGAATCGACGCTTTCATCCCCTCAAGGAAATTTAAGGTCAAGTCGCACACCTCCTCTTGGTTCTCCGCTGCTTGCTCATCTGCCATCGCCCATTGGAATCACTTCTTTCACCGATTCCGTAGCGACATGTCTGACTGCAATAGACGTCTCTTTGCCTCTGCCCGTAACGAGTGTAAGCGTGTCCTCAACGAAGCTAAGTCAATATTTGCTGCTCGAATGAAGGAACGTATTGCATCTCACAAGTTTGGCTCCAAAGATTATTGGCGAGTCTGCAAGAGTGTCCTGAATAATCGAAAACCCTCCATACCTCCTTTATTCAACCAGTTCGAGGTCTTGACCTCCCCTACCGACAAGGCTGAATGCTTTGCTCTGAAATTCTCATTTAATTCAACGCTCGATTCCACCGGTGTACCCATACCAGACTTCCCTCTTAGAACTGAGGGGCCTTACTGAGCGGCTTACACATAACCCCGTCATTGGTACTGGGCATTATCTCCACCTTAGACCCCCCAAAAGGGTAGTGGTGGAGATGGCATACCAACCATTGTCCTGAAGAAATGCGCGCCTGAGCTAGCACCCGCCCTCTCTAAACTGTATAATTACTGCCTCAAGGAATCATGTTTTCCTGACTGCTGGAAGTCCTCATCCATTGTTCCTGTGTTTAAGAACTCTGGAGACCCCTCTGACCCCACTAATTACCGTCCTATTAGTCTCCTACCCCTGTTCGGCAAAGTCTTCGAAGCCCTAATCAATGCCGAAGTGGTTAATCACCTCACATCCATAATCTGCTCTCAGACAAGCAATATGGTTTCCGCTACGCCCGATCTACAGCTGATGTGCTTACGGCCATCACTGAAACCGTCTACCAAGCCCTTCAAAATAACGATGAGGCTCGTGCTGTGGCCCTCGACATCTCCAAAGCATTCGATAGGGTTTGGCACGCCGGCCTTCTTCGTACGCTCCAGGGGTATGGTGTTACTGGTCAACTGTTTGATCTAATACAATCATTCCTGTCTAACCGAAAATTGAAGGTCGTTCTCAACGGATTATCCTCCAGTTCCTATCCCACTAACGCAGGTGTGCCCCCAAAGGCTCCATCCTTGGCCCCACTTTTCCTTATTTTCATCAATGACCTTCCTGAAGCTATAGATTCCCAAGTCGGCATCTATGCAGACGACACTACAATTACTCCTGCCTCAAAAACAAGTCTAGTGTCGGCGACAAAACTAACCTTGCCGTGCGTCTTGAAATGGACCTCCAATCGGTTGTTAACTGGGGCAAGAATTGGCTGGTCAACTTTAACGCCACAAAAACTAAATTACTCTCCATTAACCACCATAGAGATCCTTCCCTGCCCCCCATTAAAATGTCTGATAGTCAACTTCCTGAGAGCAACTCCTGCGTCTGCTCGGTCTCACGCTGACTGCTGACCTGAGATGGAACAAATACATTGAGTCAATTGCTTCTTCCACCGCGAGGAATGTTGGCTCTCTGTGCCGCGCCAGGAAATTTTTCTCCCTGAATCGATACTTCAAATATACAAAACAACCATTCGCCCTTGCATGGAGTATTGCTGCCATATATGGGCTGGAGCACCTTCTGCTTACCTCGGGTTCTTGACAAGATCCAGAGAAGGATATGTAATCTAATTGGCCCTGATCTAGCGTCTTGTTTGCAGTCACTCTCTCACAGACGTGCCGTCGCCTCTCTCTGTCTTTTTCTACAAATACTTCCATGGTAACTGCTCTGATGAGCTGCTCTCTCTGGTTCCCAGACTCCATGAATTCAAGCGCCCTACGAGGCTGGCATCCCTCTCACCCTTACACCGTAGAAACCTTCAAATGTAGCCGTCTCTTCTACTCCAATAGCTTCATACCTCGCACCTCTCGCCAGTGGAACACCCTCCCCAATCACTGTTTCCCTGAAAGCTATAATCTCCAACTATTTAAATGTAATGTCAATCGACATCTCCAATTACATTGATCTACCCACTATCCTTCTCCTCTTCCTTTCTCCTATCACTCTTATCTGCTCTCGCTCCAAATCTTCCGCAACCCCCTGCATCCTAGTGGCTTCACGCCTTGCTTGGGGCACAATGCTTAAATATATATATATATATATATATATATATATATATATATATATATATATATTTTCAAATTATTAATAGTAAAAATGGGAATAGGTATATGTGCAGGCTGTATAAAAGTCTATTGTTCTGCGCAACATGAAACAAACGGTGGCCATTTGCAATATTGACATAATATAGAAGTGTTCCCGACTATAAACGAGTGTTATTATAATCGTGCAATTATGGATCGGAAATTTGACTTAACCCATTCTGAGAAAGATATTATAACATCGGAACATTCCAAAGGCAAGTCTACATTAGAAATATCCAAAATAATTGGAAGATTTAACCAAACTGGGTAATGATTTGTCGCATCTCCTACAAGGTGCCTAAGATGGCCGATAAGTGTCACTCAAGGGTTGTTTCCCGACGTTATTTGTCTGGAATGACACGTCTAGCTGTAAATAGCCCAGGCTTGACGAGTGGAGTACTTTTCAGGAGTTGTAGGGCTATATTTACACTAGCATGTTATCATAAAAATTGGCTTGTGTTCACGTGGAAAATCAGTACAAAAATCACATAGATAAAATATTTTAAAGTTATATTAAAAAATGTAGTTAAATAAAACAAATTCTAAACTAAACTTCTTTTAAAACTGTAATTAAATAAACGTATTCTAACCTAAAGACCTCCTTCTTAGTACTACAAGCACAAAAATCCAATAAAAAACACTTACAGTAAAATGAAATTAATATGAAATGCTAGAAGATTAAGCTTTTGAATGACCCATGTTCTTTGTTCTTACATGAGAAACAATATATTACTAGGTTTATATAAA